AGAACTTCCTGGGTTTCAGCATGTGACTGTTGCCTCTTGTCCTATTGCTGGACACCCCTGAGACTAGGCTGGCTCCATTCTCCTGACCCCCTTCCTTAAGGTATTTGTACAGATAGAGGAGATCCCATCTCAGCCTGTTCTTCCTTATGTGAAACAGGCCCAGCTCTCAGCCTCCTTCTTAGGAGAGGTGCCCCAGTCTCCTAATGACCCTTGTAGCCACCCCAGTAGCTCCCTGTGCCTTTTGCACTGGGGAGCCCAGCCCTGGACACAGCCCTCCATGAGTGGCCCCCTCAGGGCTGAGCTGGGAGAAGGATGCCCTCCCTCTGCCTGCAGGGCACCCCAGGGATCCCCCCCTGCCCCTTAGTGTGTGATGTCTGCTGCAGTGAGGTCCTCCCCCTGGTCACTCAGCTATGGCCAAGGGAGATGATGGAGAGCAGGAGCTCAGGGTGAGGCCACAAGTCTTCAGGGTGAAGATATCGCTTCTGCCGGTGAACAATACTTTCAGAACATGTGGTTAAATCCTCGCAACTACGCTTTATTCCTGGTACTGGAAGTACATCTTGCAAAAATGTTAAAAACTTAATTAAGAAGTTTTAAAAAGTAATAAATAAAAAAAAATGTGTATTTTCCACACCTGCAATCTGTCAGGAAGCTAGGGTGAGAGCTCTGAGCTTTGCTTTGGGTGTTTTCCTCACTCTTCATTTGCGGTGACGTGGCTTCCTGGGCCGTAAGCACTGATAAACCTAAGCAGCTGCTGGTGACACTGCACGAGGTAAAGGTCTCTCTGGTGCAGGGAGTGTTCATCGTGGAGCTCCGAGGGAAACACAGCATTCGGGGCCACGCAGAACACAGACTTGCCTAAGCCAAGCACGGAGCAGGGTTATCAGGCCAACAGGTTTGATGACCCTTCGGCACCAGCTTTCAAGGGGGTGGGGAAAAGCTAGAATATGGTTAAAAAGAGTAACTTGCAATAGGTTATTCCTAGTAGTTTACTGTAATTCTTGTCTCAGTGTCAAATTCTTAGATGAACTACAGGTGTGATGCTAGATAACCAAACACAAATAGCAAAGTAACCAAACAAAAATTCTGTTTTGCCTTTTCCTCACGTAAAAACAGTGAAGTTAGTTATTCTACTCTGGAAGACCTGGGAAGCTGACAAACAACCAGCTACGCAAGCACAAAGGAGAGGAGCTTAGTGCTAACCTGTGGCCTCATTCCATGCAGCACTGAGACTCCTCACAGGAAAGCCGTAGCTGATTTTTTTTCCCCCCTCTAATAATAGTTGCTTTTGCCAATGGAAATTATGTACTTTCAGTTGACAGATGAGACTATAATGCACTTTGTAAGAAATGGAAATGATTTATCCAAGACTTAAAATTAGTTACGTTATTTACCGTGCTTTAGGGTGAGTGAAGATTCAAGCAGTAAGATGGCAATCAATGCATCTTCTTGAAGTACTTTTTTTCTTAAACTTAATTTGGTGTGAGCCTTAGACAATGAAATCCTAAAAAATAAGTATAAACATGTCAGATGTAGTACCAGAAAATACTGCAGAAATGAACACATAAAATGAACACAGAAAAAGAACATGTTGTGCCCTTTCAAGCACATCAGTAGATTGAGTGCAAACTTCAAAAACTTCAAACTTTCAAAACTTAAAGAGTCCCGTCTAGACTTGTAACTTCTAAGCACATTAGCACAATTTCTGAGGTACTTAGCTGTTTTCTTTAACATGAAAAGGAGGACATACAGAATTTTTAGTGCGGATGCTGATAATTTCGATCCATGAATCGCATCTCTTCTCACTCTGCGACTTGCAAGATAGTAGCCCTGAATTAGGTTTTCTGCTTCTGAACTCAGTTCAACATGAAGATTCTTAGCAAACAAAATAAACTAGAGAGATGGTACAACTTTTAAATACTTCACTGTGGAAAATAAAGAATTCACATTTTTCACATCTTCTAGCGGCATAGTAACATGTTGGCACAGTCTATTCCACAAATAATGTTTACAATGTCTCACTGTTCAGCCATGCAAAATGACTCGCTTATATCAGCTGCTACACTATGTAAACTGTTAATTTGTCCATTAGATTATATGATAGTGACACATTATTTAAAATGAAGCATTTTTACTGCTGATTGCAACTTAACCTTGTCAAAAGTATTAGAGATGGCTTTTCATACTGTCAACCTACTATGTTTTTCAGAAACAAGATCCAATTGAACTTATGTTGGCTCTTTTGAAGTACTAAAACTAGTTTTATCAACCGCAAGATCCTATCAATGCTAGTGGAGTGGAATATGGGAGAATTGTTAGGAAGTGAATATTGATAGATTTAAAAACAAGCAAACCTTTTGAGTTCAGGAACTTGCTCCTTGCTGCTACCAAGCATGCTGCATTTCTAATTAAGGAGTATTTCCTACCTGCTCGTAATCCTGTGTTGTGCACTGCTGCGAGACGCCGGCTAGCACTGCCCCAGGATTAACTGCTTGCTTCAAGATATGATGCACAAGAAGAGAAGACAGTTGACAAGAAGGCAATTCATCGTATATCAGAAGCCCAAATACATCTAGAAGGTTAGGTGAGATCAAACTCAAGTCCTAAAGAGAAGACGTAGAGGAAAACAAGCAAACAAACAAACAAGTCAAATTATTTTGGACTTTTTACTTGTAGAAACATTGTATTTTCTTTAACCTGAAATGTGCAGTATGAACAGTGAGTACTACCGGATTATCAAATGAAACTTCTGTAATATATGTAGTCCAATTTTGTTTCAAAAGTATTTGCTGAAAGCCATTCCAAACAAAATGACAGCTCCGCTTTTGGGAAATCTAGCTAATTTTAGAAGACACTGGATTTACAGTGCCTTAATCTTTGGCTTTTGGGTAAAAATGAGCAAATTTAATTGTTTTCATTATTTCATAAACTGAAATAAGCATAAACACAGGTGACTGCTGTGGCACATAGGGCATGTGCTTTACCATCTGTCCAATTAAAGAGCTCTCCTTTTGCATATGTTTCTTTGAGGAAGCATCCACGTCTACGTAAGACCAAAAATTAGTCTGAACTGGAATAGTCACTTGCTGGTCAGCTGCTTCTCCATACTTCTTCCCAGGAATGAACAGTGTTGTTGTTCTGCTCTCCAGCACTAGGACAGGACTGAGTGTCAGTTACACCATCACTGCAGTTAAGCTATATATTCTATGTATTCTACAGTCCCAAGCACAGCACCTGCAAGCAATGACAGTTACATACTGTCCCAGTGATGGTTACAGAGCTGGACACTGACAGGTAGGGTATTTAATTTGAGTGCCTACTAGAAGGCTACAGTGTAGATCTTAGAAACTTAAGGAACCACTTCTTCTCTTACTGTTTAATATTGTCAATTTATGATTTTGTTAATTGATGGAGTCTGTGTAGCAAACAAGCCTGTAAGAACACATGTATTTTGTTCCTGTTTCTTTAAAACTTGTTAAAAATAGTTGACAGACTTCCCCAGCATTCGAGGGCCACAAGGTGAGAAAGAGACCTAGCTATGATTTTGTGTATTTGTTTCATGCGTTTTGTTTCTGTCCACTTGCTTGTCAGTAGATGTAACATTACCTGACTGCAGAAATTCAAGTTTATCCTTTTTATATGAAGATAAGTCTCCTATGTAGCAGACACCACCTTTAGCCAGCAGAGCGCTGCAGGCTTGAATACTCGCACTTCCAGTTCCATGTTTATCTTTGGATACGACAGGAAAAATCTCACTTGAAGATGGGTGTCGTATGCCCCGAGGTAGAAGACAAATACTGTAATTCAGAAGTCTGTAGGATTAAACAATTCTGTCAGTCATAAACCGTAAAATTATTTTTGGCTTTACAAAACTTCAACAACACAATACTATTTTATAATGATAATTATACTTCAGAGTTGATAAGGACCCACAGCGCTCAATTAGAAACCGCCTTCCCCCAAAAAAATTCAGTAGCAAAACTTGAATGTTCCAACTTGTTAAGAACACACAGGCAGAAACCCAAGCTTCCTCCGTCACAGCTACAAGAAGGATTTTATTTCTTACAGGTTTAACATCAGAGGCAAATGAGGACTTTCTATTAAGTCAGAAATAGTGTTAACTCCTAACGCGCAGAAACTTTTGCATTGACTGAAAAAGTGAGTGAAGGATCTTTCTGGCCATCTAGAAAAAAAAAAAATCAAAAGGCTAGAAATCTGCAGGCTCCTCTTGCCTGGGTACATCCCCAGGGCTTTCTGAGAAACGAGAGGGTCCTTCTCATCCTGCAAGCTACGCAACGTGCTTGGCACGCAGCACTGCAAACTGCCTGGCAGGTTCCTAAGGACTTTTGGATGTCAGAGCAGAACTTCGCACATTATTAATAAAGAGGAGAAATGTTATATGTTACATATATATGGTGTATATATAGTATTATTAAAATAGCCTACTATAATCATATATACTATAATTATAATATGCTAAAATATATACTATATATAGTATATAGTATAATATATACTATGATACAATATATTAAAATAACCTACTATAATAACATAAATATGATATAGGAAATAGTTCTCTTGACAGACTAATGACAATGAATTCCGTTTTTTCTACTTGAATTTATGCGAGAAACAAGCAATCTATTTACCTATCAATGATGAGAGTGTCTCCTGTCACAATCAAGAGATCCAGGTAATCTGCTAGCTCGTTGTCCTGTTCACATGTCAGGACGAGGCTTAGCAATATTGTGAGTTTGACAGTATTGTAAGTGCCCGGCGGAACTACTTGAGAAGCAAAGACATTGGCAAGAATGGCTGGAAACCTCCAACAGGAACCCGAAGCCAGTGACAACAGACGCTTAAAATTGTCACTGATAGAAGTAGGACCTAATTAAAACAAAATACAGCTTAACGAATACTTCATAACAGATCTATGCAGACACATTAGAACAAATCACTATTCTAGTCTTGATAAGAAACTTGTGAACAACTAAGAAGTTTAGTACTAAGCACAAACAGAAGCAGCTGACAATATTAACTTTACTATTAAAAACAACAGATGTTATCTGTTAACCCTGATAGAATATGAAAGGAGGGGCAAATTGAAATAGCAGGGCCGTTTCACACCTGATTTCAAAGTGTCATTCAGTGGAGAGGAGAAGCTGAAGGAGAACTGCAGTAAATAATTGTTTTTTAGTTTCCCAATGCATGGAGAGAGAGAGAAGTGGGCAAAATAATGGTATGTTCAAATGACAGCAAGAATATATTTAAGACTGCAAGAGAGAAGACCCAAAGCAGATCCCAAATCTGCACCTCTGTATAACAGGAAATTGTACTAATGCTGAAGATTCTGCTTTAAAAAGTTTTTTTTTTTAACATTTTGATTGTTTATTTTATGAACTTTCTTACCATTTGGCTTACACTGCCGGACACTACTGACTTCTACACACACTGTAGCTTGCGAGCCATTTTGTACACAGGCTGGAATTCCTATAATCTTGTAGAGGTTGCCTATTGTCATTCTGTTGGCCAATTCATCTAGAAGTACAAAAAATAACAACAACAAAAAAAAAACAGAGGAACTTGAAGACATATTAGGGCATAAAAAGTTTTAAGGACATGATCAGATTTTTGATATTCCAAGCATTCCTGATTTAAGCAAAGAAAATGGTTTTATTCCAGGTCCACTGTAAGGTACTGGAACAAAATCAAGCTCAAAATTCTAAAATACTGGCAGACTGGCTGAAGAAAAATGATTCTTGCTAAAGAAAATGGATGGTGCAGTTAGTTCTGCATTGGAAAGAAAACGGGTGCCCTGGAGTTATGCATGCCTGCTCTGAAATTTGTGTTGACAACCAGCACACACACCAATACACAGCAAACAGCTTTGAAAACCTTTACATTTCTACGCATCGCTTCCAAAAGGAAATGTGAGGTATGTCCAACCTGACATCTCCAACCTACAAGATCCAGTCTAACGTCAGTCACGACTGAAGCCAATGAAAATTTAATGCACGCCTCAGTGAGTTGATTATTTGCCAAGAAATTAGTTTATTTATTCTATAGATTTTGGACATCATATTAAAGCAGAATGGCTTTATTTATGTATTTGGTGTTAAATAAAACAAAAGTGCTAGTAAAATAGGTTGGTTTCTTGTGATTTTAGTTGAATATTCATTCATGGTAGAGATAATTTAGTGCCTGCAGTGAAAGATAGAAGCTGGAGAGCAAAACATCTTGACATGATCCAGGAAAGGGTTAGATGGGGGAAGGATGTTAAAAATGCACCAAACTAGTACAAAACAGTATGAGCAAAGGAAGGAGAAAAGACCAGGAGAGGGGGTGGCGGGGGGGCAGGGAACTACTGTTACAATATGGTAATGTAGATTTGATTTAAACAAAAGGACTTGACTGAAACAAAAATAGAAAAGTGAACATGATTACGTAATGTAGGCACGTACATGTATGTCTTCAGTCACTTGGCTAAACATGTGGGTTTTTTTCTCGCAAAAATATAAAATTATGATTTTCAGCATTTTAGAGACAAACAGAGCTATATGGACGATGCAAATTATTACAGTTCAGTTTTGAAATATTTTCATTTTAACAATTCTCAGTCATTAATTTAAAATTCAGCTTACCTCTCAAGAAGACTGTAAAAGTCTGAATCCTAAAATGTGATTTATTGTTGGAATATCCTTTTAAAGCATTCAGTGCTTTCTTATCAATCATTTCAACTATTTGCTTATCTTTCAAAATAAAGGCAAAGAAAAGTTAAATCTCTTGAATATGGTACTAAGTTTTTTCATTGCTTTTTTTTTTTTTTCCTTAAATGACTGGTATATTTAGGACTTTTTCCCATTAAATTATTTTGATAAATTATATAACATAAGTAGAAAAATTAGAAGTAGAGATTTAAATATAGAAGTACATAGTTCCTACCACCAAGCACTCTAAACTTCATGTCCTCTTGCAGTGGTGAAGAGCACAAGCTACAAACAAAATCATTCCTCACTGTGGCAGATTCCGTAGCTCCAGGCACATGCACCCTTATGTACCTAAATCCTAAAAAAACAAAACAACAAAGAAAACTTCCATTAAATGTGCAATGTATTTCCTAAACACTTTAAATGAAGTCATGGCTTTGATTTTTAACTTTCTATTAAGAACTAATTCAAAATTTTTGAGTAACATGAAATCCAATTTTTTAAGTAACATCTGCTTTTTAAGCTGAACATACTTGCCTGCTGGGTGCTTCTCATGTTGACCTGCAGTTTCTGCTGTTTAACAGCTACTGTTAAAACCTTGCACGCAATTTATTACAGGCTGACCACAAGATGGCAGAATTTATTGCAGAGCCCCAATGAAAGCGCTTGGCCTGGTGCTCCGAGACGCAGTGAGCAGCCTTTCCTGCACTACACACCGGTGACACTGGATTGATGCATTCGTTCGTTAGAGGCAGGTGCTCTCAAAAAGGCTGCGTTATGATTTATTGCACAGCTTCTAAACTGTGGGATTTGGCTTCTATTTTGTAGCTTCATGGTGTCTGTTACAAACAGAATGGCCTTAAATGTACTGAAGAATTAATTCTCCAAAGACAAGTACTTCAGTAATACCACCCTAAGGAGCAGTTTTGTAGGAATCAGATAATCATTACAGTAAATCAGTTCTGTGCTGTAAGCTTTCACCTGTATAATAATGTCACTTAAGAATAGCATTCTCCAGGATGTTTTCACATAAGCAGCCTGTATGTGACTGAGCGTTATAGAAAAAAAATACATATTCTACAGGTAGAATTTTTGACAGAATAGTAAAGTGCTATTTTTATTCCTAGATTTTTAATCCAAAAGAGTTAAACTATCTGAATTATTAAAAAGCTTTCTAAGTAGTATGGACTTTTCTTTTTCCTACCTTCAGAAAATGGACAGGTTTCCCCAGTACAAAAAAATCTTGCTCCCTGTGTATATTTTGTTACTGTTCCCATCGCAATCACTATTCCTTCAGCCTCATAAAACCTTTGAGACGTGTAATTAAAGGGAAAGGCAGAAAGATCCAGAATGTAACTTGGCAAGGATGGCAAATGTGTTGGTTTCAGCAGTATATTAATCTAAGAGGAGACACAATTACATTACTGCCATGTTTTTCTTTTAAAATATCTACATAACATATACTTACACAGACAAATTCAATGTGGTGTACTGCTATTAGCAACATTTTCAGAAACACGAAGTGTAGAAGTAATTCAGTCACATATTTTATCATCTTGTCAATCTTGGAACATGTTCTGGGCTCCACAGTACAAGAGGGATGTGGAGCTGCTGGAGAGAGTCCAGCGCAGGGCTACAAGGATGATCAGAGGCCTGGAACATCTGCCCTATGAGGAGAGGCTGAGGGAGCTGGGCCTGTTCAGCCTGGAGAAGAGAAGGCTGAGAGGGGATCTAATCAGTGTCAATAGGTACCTCAAGGGAGGGAGTGCAGAGGATGGTGCTGGTCTCTTTTCAGTGGTGGCCACTGATAGGACTAGAGGAAATGGCCGGAAACTGAAACACCAAAAATTCCATAGGAACTTAAGGAAAAATTTCTTAACAGTGAGGGTGACAGAGCACTGGAACAGGCTGCCCAGAGAGGTTGTGGAGTCTCCTTCTCTGGAGATCTTCCAAACCCGCTTGGACGCAGTCCTGCGCCACGTGCTCTAGGTGACCCTGCGTGTGCAGGGGGGGTGGACTAGATGATCTCTAGAGGTCCCTTCCAACCCTAAGCATTCTATGATTCTGTGATTCTATGTTTGGGTAAGACTTCCAAGTATTGTCAATTACAAACAATATTGCAATCAAAGAGATAATACAAACTGAAAAATTAATGCAAAAGTTATCTAAGATTGAGATGGCAACAAATAATGCAGACTCACCTGGGCCTCTGTCTGCAACTGTTCAACTAACGATAAAGTTTTAACAGCTACAAAACATACCTGTAGTTGAAAAACAACCCTGTGTTAGAAGGAACATATAGTTAAAAAGCCAAAGGTTTATTTTTGCGGGCTGCAACCGTATATACACTTACTGACTGAAAAATCTGTGCAGCTTGTATGGGATTATGAAGAACGTAGTTTCCAAGAGTTGCATCTAATTCAGCAATATCAGAAGGATTTATTGAAATAATGAATCGATAAACAGCATAACTTTGTTTTGAGTCTGTGGAAGCAAAAAGCCTTTTAAATAAAAATAACAGATTTAACATTATTTGATTTGTAAGTGTTACCAGAATGTCTACTGATTGAGCAATACCGTTATATTTTTTGCAATCATGCACAAACTTCTGAAGGCCACCACTTCTGTCAAGGTAAATAAGGACAATTTCCCTCATTTTCTGTATTTCTGGATGCATCTTCCAAAAAAGATCTTTGCAGTCTTACCAAAATGCTGAAATCAATCATGATGAAGATAGGTCAGAATTGGCCATGCTACAGTAATAAGAAAGATACATACTAATAAAATACGCTCTTTTTTCACACAATGCAATTCCCTAAGAATTTTTAACGATCCCATTATATGTGAAGTTCCTTCTAAAGGCTTGTAGCATACTGTATTCCTAAAGCAAATTTGTGAAAAATAGCACTTTCTTTAGTAAATTATTATCCCCCAGCTTTAACAAAACCCATCAAAGGTTCCGTTTAAATATCAGGTATAATCATGATAGGAAAAGTAAAATATTGTTTAATAACTCCTTATATTATTCCATAAAGTATCCACTTTTTCTTAGAAGTCTGTGCAGTTATACCTGAAAGTGTGAAACTCAGGAACACCTTTTATTTAAACTGGCTTTATTTAAACTCTGCTGTCACTTAAAGCATAGATCTTTCTAACACTCATGTTCATTTGGACACACGGAAGATTAATTCTTATTTCCATAGTCAAATTTTCAAGATTATGATTTTGGTTTGGAAATAGTCTTCGGTGTTGTTTTAGTGATTTATTATTCACATCTCTGTATTTCTAAATGTAAGATATTATCTATCTTAAGTGTTGGAGAAGAAATGAAGGTGTTTAAATGCAGGCACTTCTCTTCAGAATCACCCAGGAGAGGGGCTGGAGGATCAGGACCCGCGGGAGAAGGAACCAGGTGCAAACCGAGCAGTGCTGCGGCAGCCTGGGAAGACGCTCTCGCCCCAGCGTTGCTCGCCGTGGGCGGGTGGATGCGCTGTTGCAGTCGGAGCCACGGGATTTTAATCACGAGCTGCAGGAGGATGGGTGTTAGGGATTTTTTTTTTTTTCAGTTTCTCTAGGATTACTCCCACGTAGTTACTGATCCGTCCATAAAGACCTTCAGCAAGGGGGGATTAAAATCCAACTGAAACCCAGACCGCTTCAGCTCATTAACGTTCTCTTTGCCCTCACAGGTCAACCCCACCTGGCCTCCCTGCACACCGTTTTTTTGGGGCCCTGGAAGAAAGGACACCAAACCTGACAAGGACTGAGCTAAGGCCCAGGCCACTGCACGCCCAACGGGAGCTGAGGCGGCAGCAGCCCCACCACCGGCTGCCCTCATCTACCAGCCCTCACAGCCCAGGGGCCAGCTCCGTTCGCGGCCCAGCACCTCCTGCCCGCCCTCAGCACCGCCTGCCGCCCCCGAACGCCACCTCCTCCCTCTTTCCTCACAACACCCTCCCCGCCGCCCCCCGCACCCCCGAACGCTTCCAACGCCGCCGCGCGCGCGCGCGCGCACACAGGGGCGGG